GTAAATTACCGGACTTTTCCGCGATAAATAACCCTTGCAGCATCAGTCTGGGGGTTAATGCTTGGAAAAAATTATGCACCCTTTAGACACCAGGTTCTCTATAATATCATTTCATTTAGGGACGGAGATGATTTTGCAAACCTTATCGTAATTAGTCATCTTGTTTTCATTTCAGAGGACGGCAAGTCGCTGGAAGGTAATTTATTAGTTTCCTATGATAATGAATCTTAGTAACTTTTATTTTAACACATTGGATATGTATGTTTGATAATAGCAAATATACTCAATATTACATTGAGTTTCAATTCCTTTATTTTATAATAGCACATTCTATTGACTCAAACTGATATAAGCATCGTATTATAAATTTACAAACATGGCAACAACGAAAAGAGAACATATTGGAATAACGTAGATTAATGCTTAGAAATAGAGCTGAATAGTTCCCCAGCTGCAAGGTTTGCATCTCTGTGATACTCTCCAGAGACAGAACTTAACTGATCAGCCATTAACGCTTAACATCTTTGGGATCCAACCAGCTATTTACCGTCAAATGTTAATCTGACAGTTACGGGAAATAATTCTGAGGCTGATTAAAACGTATTGTTGGCGCAATCAGGTTGTTTCTTAACTTCAGCAAAATCTGACTTAAAAATGAACTAATTTCCTTCTCGACTTCAACTATCCAGCACGACTGAAAAATTCTGGCACGACTTCAACATTCCAACGCGTTTCTTAACTTTAGCAGAATCTGACTTAAAATTGAACTAATTACCTTCTCAACTTCAACTATCCAGCACGACTGAAAAATTCTGGCACGACTTTAACATTCCGGTGTCATAGCGGATTTCGAACCCCAATCCCCCCTTAGATTTGAACCCCCCGGTCCAAATCCACAACCCAACAAAACTGAGTTAAATATCAACCTTAACGTACTAGTAGAAATAGATAACGCTTTACGTTCCAGTGAATACTAAAGTATGTTTTTAATTCAAAACATGCGTATTGATGTTGTCTTGTTCTCAGCATTCCGCCTCAACTTAGGATTTTCGTTCACCCGAGCGAAAGCGCCAACCTCTAGAATAAAAACAAACTGTGAAACTTGCTAACGTTTGATTTTTTGTTCTTCTCTTAAAAAAGGTGTGAAACATGAAATGATAGATATGCTAACAATAAGTGTGAAACGCGTGAAAACTTTAATTATTTTCACTCCATTGGAATCCAGATTGCTCGGGTTCTCGATTTGTCGTAACTCTTGATAACTCGAACCAAAAGTTGTTCCCCTTCCCCTGGTGAACCCAACTAATCCAACTGATTTTCATTTCCTATGGAGGCTCGAAAAATCGGGAATCCACTGTTCGTGTTGATCCTCAACGAAATTCTTTTGCTTTACCCACTACGTTGAGACTTTTCTATTGCTCGTAAACTGAGAATGCACTAAACTTTGCATCCATTTGCGTTTGTGTTACTGGTTATATTCCTAGTGATTAAAAATAAGTTAAACTAACAGTCCTTTTAGGTTTTTTTGTCTGGTTAGCGTTCGGTTGAGTAAATTTATAAGAACCTGAAATAGATGCTAGACCACATAGAAGTTATCTCTTTTCTTTTCTTTTTCTCGAGCATGTGTCAAATAGATTATTTTTGCTCTTAAGCCGAGCACGGAATATGTAGCAGTCTTTCTAACAGTGCCGTTGAATAAAGTCACTATTTATTTTTCGTTTCTAGACAGTCTAAGCTCAGGTATGTGGGAAACTTGGAATCGAGTGCTTTTCCCCAAAATATGTACCGCAAGTCATTGCTATGTTAAAAACTAGGTGAAAACTTTGAATAAAAGGTTTTCACGACGCTCAAAGCGTAAAAATCATATTTATTAGAGAGCTTGCTCTGGTGTTTCTTTTTAACGAAAACAAAGCCGTAAGCACCAAAAGCCAGTCAGAAAACTAATTTATCAATACTGCCTTTCACCCTTGACAAATTATCGCTATGAAGTGATAAAATATTTACTAGACACTAAGTCGCTTGAGGCGCTAATTAATCGTTTTTGTGGAGAAAAGTTCATGTGCGTGTAACGCCTTATCGGCACTGAGTAATTTATGTTATTGTTACTGTGTGCTCTACAACTGAATTCAGTTGCTCCGCCTACTGCAAAAGGTTTCATTCTACTTTGTTATTAGGGCCTCTTTACATGGAGGTGGAGGACCCTAGGTAGGTGAAGTAACCCGCTTAGGTGGGGTAACCCGCCTGTCCATGTAATTTCTTATATTATCTTGATCACGTTTACATGACAGGTGGGGTGACCACCTAGGCGGGTTTCCCAGTCTGCCAGGTAGGGTAACCTGGTCAGCCGGGGTGACAATTTGCCATGTAAACGTCTCAAGGTGGGGTAACCCGCCTACCCGGGTTCGCACTCATGGCAAAAAGCTCAAAAGCGAAACATGCATGTTTTGAAACTTTAGACATTTCTTAGCTGTCTCATGGCAGAAATCACCAGAAACCACAACGGACACACAAGGAGTATAAAATGTTCACATTTCGGAATATTTAGCGTTGTAAATCGACCATATTTCGTTTCCCAAACTATTCCGTATAACGTATTAAGTCAACGGGTTCTCGCGTAACCTAACACCGCGTAACACAACGCGTGACGCTTTCATGAATAAATACATATGTGCCGGAGAATTAATTTTTCATCTTCTTCGAGATGAGAGCTTGGGACGCCCCTGCTCAAACTCTTTAATTGCAAGCGCAACAACAACCTCAAGAAACCTCACCTCAGCACCCCGGGATTGTAAGATTGTATGTAGACGCGTTTTTTTTTTTCGACCACGGCTAGGCGGGTTACCTCACCTACCTGGGGTCCCCCACCTCCATGTAAACGGGCTCTTACACTCGTGATTCCTTCCGTCAGCGATGGCCGAAACGAAAGCTTACAACGAAGTTTTTTCACTATCTCCGCCATAACGAGCATCCGATCGATTTTTCGAAAGAGCAGGGAAGAGATTTACGCAAGAAAGCCCAAAAATTCGTTCTTGAAGATGGTGCGCTGTTATTTATTGGTCAGAAAAATGGTCAGCCTGAAAGATGGGTTCACAGCCGAGACGAGCAGCAGCAAATACTGAAAGCTTGTCACTCTAACAAACTTGCTGTTAACATCGGCCGTGACAAGACGAGAGAAAAGGTTTGTACTTTATTCAGAGATGCTTCTCTTGAACTTTAAAGTTGTGGTTACAACTTAGTTGATCGCTCTTAACTTTTGTGTTCCTGTTCCTCTTCCAGGTTACATCTCGCTACTATTGGGTTCGATTGTTGGAGGACTGAAATTGTCAAGCGTTGCGATGTTTGCCAGCGTACTTCAAAGAAATCCGAAAAGCCTGCCCAGCTATGCCTGATTAAAGTAAAGGAGACTGTGTGACATCGGATTGGTATCGATCTGGTAGGACATATGCCCGAAACGTTCCGTGGCAAGAAGTACTTGATCACCTGTACTTGCTATTTCAGCAAGTGGCCAGAGGCAGCTCCTCTTAAAGAGAAATCGGCTGGAGTTATGTAATATCCGAAATTAATTGTAGAGTACTGAGATTTAAGGATATTTAGCACATGTTGTTATATAATTATTTACCACGTTAATTGTCAATCTATTAAGGAAAGTAATTCAACATGCTCGTTTTAGAATAGGCGCGCAAAATAATCCTTCTGATGGATTTGCAACAATTTTGACGAAGCCAAAACTATTTTTTTTGCAAAATGTAGCAAAGTTACTAGATATGGATAGCTTTTTTTTAAGCTTGCTTGAGTCAAGTTCAAGCTTGGTTTAAACTTGACTTGCTCTACTAGACAAATATTTATCGGTCCTCTAGATGTGGCGGATTTCCTTTACAACCTGATCGCCAGATACGGAGTGGCGAAAATTGTGATGTCCGACCAGAGCCAAGAATTCGTCAACGGGGTCAACGAGGAGCTGTTTAAGTTGTGTGGCACGGACCACAGGATCAGTGCGGTGTACCACCCGCATGGTCTTGATGAAATAATGAATCAGACGCTAACGAGAGCCCTAATGTACTTCGTGAACGACAACCAAGATGACTGGGATGTGTATTGAAGGCCTAAATGTAATAACTCTCCTAAAAGTAATAAAGTCCTAAATGTAATAAGCCTTCGATGTAATCGTTTCACTGCGCCAGTGCATTGTTGTTATAGCGGACATCCACTTTGAGATGTTAAAGTGACAGCTGTTGCACCAAAGAATCCTAAGACCAATATTGATGGCATATTGCAGGCTTGCTGATATCAATCAGCGTCTTTTTGTTTGCTAAAGACAAAGGTTGAGAAGCATTTGGTACAAACCCTTATAATGATGTGCTTTTGACATCAAATTGACAAACGTAAAAACAATTAGAACGCTGACCAATAGCTCTCTTTATATCATTGGTTCAGACTCTTTAATTAGTGCAACAGATTTTGACGATATTCTTGTATGATCAGTGCTGAAGTTAACACTTCACGAACCGAATTGCAAGGAAAAGGAAGTGCTTTGACCTATACCTTAGACAAATTCCGGGCTCGGAAGCGCGTTTTTTGCACTGTCTTCCCTTGCCAGATTTCTATGGGTCTGCATGAAATATATTCATCTGTGCTATTGACCAAGCGTGAGATCAAAATGGCTGGATATTGGCCGAGTTCTTTTTTTTTTTTTTGACCGAACAAGCTTGGTCGAGAGAGTTTATATTCTCTTAGCTTAATCAATAAAGGATCCATTGTACAGAAAAAGATTTCGCTTTAATAAGAATCAAGAATGACTTATTTCGAGAGCCGAGAGTGAAAGCTGACTGTGTTTGTAGCACAATAAACCTAGGAGGGTCGTTTAATATTTTCTATGTATATGTCGACATCGTCCAAAAGTTACGAACTTTGTAAGTTTTCTTGCGCGGGATCAATGCAGGCAATCCCGAACGGGCAAGATAGGCTTATCAGTGATCGGCAACTTGTTCCAAACTCACATATCATTCGCCTTGGTTCTCAGCAAAATGTCCAGGGTACACGGTAGCTGCTGAAACACTTGCTGACGGATTGAACGCATGCTCCCCACCAACTCTTAGAGAGGAAACTATTTGGATGTCGATGTTATACAAGTTTGCTGCTGCATACAGCGTAATCTGATCCCCATAGGTCCCATCGTGCGCCATATGAGTTATATACTCAGCAAGCGACCTCATCATTTGCCAAATGCTCCAAAAGAGGGAAGCCATTGCTATCGAACGGATTACTTTTTAAGTACTCTACTATTTCTTTCCTCATGGTTTCAGGAGATCTTAAAATGTCCATTCTCTTTGCCTGGTGCAGTAGTGCAGCAAATTGGCAATCGCCACCTCTAAAAGGATTGTAATTCTTAGTTGGGCGAACCCTCCCAGCACTAGGAAGGATTTCTTCTTGTAATCTGCTCTCTCTGAAGGCGTTATAATTTCGTACAAAGTATATTTCAAATGGTGTTTTGTAAGCTATCACCTCCCTGGGGTCGTTATTTAGAATTCTCTGATAAAGAGGGAGCTGTTTCGCCCTCTTCACACCGTCCTGACCTATCTTTTGAAGATCATATCCTTTTCTGCTCGTATCCATCAAATCTATTTGGTGCCTGACATGAACGTCTCTGGCTCTGATAGGTGTCAGTTTCGCCTTATTAAGAAACTTAGCATTTCGGCGATGATTACTTTTGTCTATGTTTAGAATAGTTCGTATTTCAGCTCGACCTACTCCTGAAAATTTGCTGGGAAAATCTTTGTGTTACTGCCAGCTTTTTTGAAACTGGAAAGTTATGCTCTTTACGCGCATGTCATTTTCATAGTGCCGATTCAGTAGAAGAAAAGTCAGTTTCAGAGTCAGTTCATGCTACTTTATCTAATGTCTGATCGTTAAGGAGATCAGTGCATCGAGCAATCCCTGTTTCCTTACTTTTTTTTTTTAATTCTTTGACTGATCAATTAACATATCTGTTAAGAAACGGCTCACGCGATTAGATGTACTCACATCTCAGAGAGAGCAAGGGCACAATTTTTTGCGGTTTTGAGGTTTTGGGGACCGGGACATCATTTACAGCCTTCAACATAAAGAGCCATTTTTAATGTTTATCATATCTCCCTCGTGTGACTGTTTCCGGCCTCATATGAAACGTAATAGAGTGACAAGTATGCGCTAAAAAGACCTGTTGCTTATTTCGAATTACAGTACGACCTCGGCAGTTGGAACTTTTTAAAGTAACAAGTGCCTTTTAATTTTGGAGCCCAAAAACTTTTCGTCGGTGAGCTCGTTCATGACATGCCCCAAATTTTTGTTAAATGTCTGTTTTGTGATTGAAAATCTGAGCCGATGATTTGCGATAATGTGCTGGTCAGCAGCTTCTTTGCATTTACACCTGTTAAAAATGTAAGTAGCTGAGTATATAATTTGATGCAGACACATGCCATACTTTATACTTTATACTTTAGCCATTTCACACAACGCCACACTGTTTTTATGTACGCTGTACCATTCGACATTACGCTGAGCCATTTCCCGCACCGCTACACCATATGTGTGTACGCTGTACCATTCTAAATTACGCTGAGCCATTTGACGCAACGCTACACCGTTTGTGCGTACGCTGTGCTACTCGACGTTACCCTGAGCCGTTTAACGCAACGCTAGACCGTTTGAGTACTGTATTGCAAATGAGTGCTAAGCTATTCGTAATTAAGCTAGTCCATTTCACAATCTTATGTTCCAACTCAACATGGGCTACTAGACCGTTTCTCATTTGGCTAAACTATTCACATTTATGGTGTTCTGTTTCACGAAGGAAAACTAGACTGTCTATAATTTGGCCATGCCATTCCTTTATTAGCTATGCTATCCTGCAGCTGATCCTTACGCCATCTTTGTATTTGCTGGTCTATTTGACATCCTTGTATTTTTGGTGGTGACGGCCGCCCATAACAATAACTCCACCAAATTCACACCGTTCGAGTTAATGTTTGGCCGTCCACCCGTGCTACTCATCGAGACGGAAATCAGGCCAAAGCCTAGCAGTACTGACTCACTCTCTGACAAAATCGGAGATGCACCCGCCGATTTAATGAGAAAGTTCGTGTCATGATGTACATTCGAGACCAGGAGAAGGTTCAGGCAATAAAGAACATTGACAAAGCACAAGAGCGGCAAAAGAAGTCGTAGGATGCAAAGCACCAGCCACTAGGATTCAAGGAGGGCGAGGTGTTGCCGAGAAACTTACGGAACGAGGCAAGAAAAGGAGGCAAACTGGAGTGGGTGTGGTCAGGTCCTTATACCATCAGCAAGGTGTTACCAAAGGGTCTCTACAATCTCCGAAACGAAGACGGTACTGAACTGAAAACATCATTTGACAGCTCAAGACTAAAGATCTATAATCATTCGGTACAGTCACACCCAAACACGAACACTTAGGTAGAGATGCCTTTGTAATCTGGTGCCGTAAAAGGGGACAAAAACACTTCGAAAAAACTTACCAAGTCTGTTAAAGTTAATGTCCTTGAAAAAGATTGTAATACCATCCTAAGCAACGGTCACCTTGACGACAACTTTATCAATGAATCACAAAACATTTTAAAGAAGCAATTTCCGAACATTGGTGGCTGGCAAGATACTCTGCTCTGCCGAATATCGTTTCCTGCTGTTTCTGAAGAATCTGTCCAAATTCACCACACTAGGAAAAATAATTGGCTTTGTTCAACGTCGATCAACGAACATTTGCGGGTTTACGACAGTTCGTCTATCGAGGAATGGTTGGACTTGAGCTGTGAGGTACTTAAGACTGCCACGGGGTGCGAGTGGCTCTGCACTGTCTGCTGGCCGCCAGACTCTAAACGACTTCGTACTTGTTAAAGTGTTATTTCGGATCTCTCAACAGTTAATAATCGTTAAAATTTGAAAATAAAATTGAGTTGGATGTAGTAGTCTCCACTACTGTTAAGACATAGACGTTGATGTTGATTTGCAATTGAAAATAAGCTGAGAGTTCTAATAATTCAGAATAGAAACATTTCTATTTATTATAGGCTTTAGGAACGACTTATATTAAATAAGAGTAGTTACTTCTTTCTTGTTCAGAAACTATTTTATGTTATTTAATTAGAAAATCAGACTGAGTTATTCTTGTGACTGGACGCAATAGTCTTCACTATTGTTATGACGTTTTGTACCAATGTTGATTCGCATCAGAAGAAGCAAGGATTTATAATAACAATTTCAATCGTTCGAATGCTGTAGTTTGTTCGTATTTAATTCCTACGTATAATAAATGCGGCAGAAATGGAACGATATGGCTGTTTTTCTTTATCTTTATTGAGGAATGTTGTGTTGTCACTGAAAAGAACATCGACAAAAAGCTTCCAAATAGAATAAGTTACCAAATATGATACAAACGATGCTTAAAAGGAAATTTTGGGAAGGGGGTCCAAATCTGCGAAGGGTGGTCCGCATCCGCTCGCGGATTTTGACCGGGGGGTGTCCATATTCAGAATGTTTAAGTCGTGCCGGAATGTTGAAGTCGTGCCGTAAAGTTAAAGTCGTGTTAAAGCTATGAAATCCATATTTTTTAACTAATTTTTTAATTGTGTTAAATGATCTAAGTATCTTAGTATAAGTGTACAATTGGCCTTGAGCTATTGTATTTCATTTTTAATTCCATGCTTTCGCAGATCTATGGCATCGTTCAGGAACGTAAATAATTTTCTATTTCTTTCCATTTCCCAACGATACCGTAGATCGGCGAAAACTTCGAATAAGGGAGAAATACAGTTGCACAAGGCCTTAATTGAATCGTTACCTTGCCTGGTTTCTAAGGTCTGTCGATGTATACATAAATCGCTGTTTCGCGGTGTGACCATGTGAGCTAGGATTGGTCCCGGGTTTCCCATTTACCTTGAAAACTTTTTTTACCTTGAAAATTTCTGTTTTTGCAGCGAAGATAAGCGGCTGCGTTATCAGATATTTTTGCGAATAAATAACCCTTGTGTTTTTTTCTCCCTTGAATTTTATTTATGTGTAGAATACACAATTAGAGTAAGGAGAATACTTTCCTTTTCTCGATAAATAAGTGTTTCTTTATCACAATACCTCGCGGGGTCCAATGCTTGGAAAACATTATGCACCCTTAGCCACCAGATCTGTAGGTTCTCTATATTGTTTCATTATGGGACTGAGATGATTTTGAAAACTTTATCGTAATTATACATTTTGTTTACATTCTAGGGCTGCTGATGAAAGACTTCCTAGGTAATTTATTAGTTACCTATGGTAAAGAATCTCAGTAACTTTTACATTGACAGTGTCTCAATATTCACTCTTTGGAGTACACATTAAATATTTAAGTTTGTTTCATTTTCTTTATTTTATCATAGCACATTCTATTGAGGAAAACTGATTTAAGCATCGTATTATAGATTTACAACCATGACAATAAACAAAACACGTTGGAATAACGTAGCTCAATGCTTAGAAATAAGGCTGGATCGTTCCCCGGCTGCAGAGTGTGTATCTCTGTAAAGTAAATTGGAAATATCATCCAGTTTACTTCGTGCTCTTTGAATACAATCAAAGAGCACGAAGCTGAGTGCAAATTTTAAAAAAATCAGCTAAAGGTTTTCATTTACAGTGTATTAATAGTGTTTATGGATAATTATTAAATTAGGGTGAATCCATAACAACAATGGAAATTCTTTTATTTGACATAATAGGATCAGCTTCTTAAGAACGAGAACTATAAGTCGAACAACTTTACTTTACTCTCTTCTTTCTACTCTAAATGCAATACCTCTAATTTTCTCGTCAGTATTCATGTACAGTACTTTAAACCACCTTTTCTTCGCACCAGTTTCCTAGACGATGAATACTAAAACTTTGTATCCTTCCGGAATGTGTGTGCCAGCCTCAGTTGCAGGCTGGTCCATCTAAAAGGTTTCTGTCCGTATCTCAGATTTCATCTTTGAGACCGCATTTTTCAATGAGCCTTTTCAGTGTAGGTATGCTTTTGTTAATGCTGTGATATTTGACTAAAAGTTCAAGTAAATTATCATTAATAAATCACTTGTTCAAATAATTACGAATCGCTCTTTGAGTGCGAATGATTTCAAAAGAGCAGCACTGCAACTTGGTATACCGAATTCCAGGCAAAAAGCTGTAAATTGAACCCCTGTAACTGAGAGAGAAATATCGCCGTATTACTCATGCCAGAATGCAGTCTCGGAATTTTATACTTTATTAAAAAATACATATGGTCATGGTCCATATTTTTCGGGAATACCGGAATACGGTAGTTAAATATAAGCAATTTCCTTCGCATCTCAGGAAAAAAAAATGGTTTTTCCTGTGACCGCAATGTTTTAGTTTCCTCGGGGAAAAAAACACTTTGCAGTTTACATTTTTTTTCCGGCAGCGAGTATGTAAATTATTTTAACTTTTTTCACTCTTAGGCTTTGAGAACATAGATTTATTTCAGTTGTCTCCCAGATTTTAATTGCTCGAGTCTTTCATCCCCTGTGTGTAGCAGCTCAAGAAACAACATGATGCAGCTACCTGTTTTCTTTTTTCTTTTCTTTTTTTTCTTTTTTTTTTACCTCGTACCTTTTTAACTCAATAAAGTGAAATATAAGTGAGCCGCTCCCCATCTCTTCACTTTATGTGCATTTTTCCTCTGTGTGATATGCCTTCAGGACTTTATGAAAGTAGATCTTCATTGCCTGTGTCTTCAT